TACGCGTTATATTATCTGGTTATCTGTCGTCGTTTTTATTAGGAATGTTTATAATACACACCAGGGATATTGCTACAGATCTAACCTTTATTTTTAACTAATTATGGTATGTACTGAGATTTATAGAGATAAAAGTACAAAAAATAGGCGTAAATTGGTGAAAACAGAATTGATTATAGACTCGGTAAAAATGACGTGGACTCGAAATCGAATCCGAGTCCAAAAAATGCGTGGATTCGACTCGAATCCGAGTCCGGATACGAATCTCGGCCCATCCCTATTCTACATCATCCTTGGCCGTGAGATGTTATGAAAAATGTGTCACTCGACCATGCTTGACAACAGGGTGATGAAATTGTAAACAAGAACGTAAAATTAAACGTGAATTACAATGTAATGACGATAATTGACTTGTTTACGACTTATGAGCTTGTAAAATCGGTAAATGTAATTGTGAATTTCACGGTAAAGATTGTAGATATACTAATGGTTGTGGTATTGTTTTGTTGGAAAATAATACAAGAAAACCATAAAAGAAATATAAATGAGTTATAATAAGTTCTTTTTTTAATTTTCGCTCCGCTGATGATCATACTTTGGTGTCAGACACTCCATTTATACATGTCTAAGAAACCATTCTCCAAAGTTGTCGACAAATAGAGAACATATTCGCACTCGACCTTGATTCATGGATTTTGCACCAAATATTGCAAAATCTGATTTTTTGCCCATATTTGATAAAGTCCCACCTCGTTCCCCTCCACAATTATATCCAATACTTATCACTACCTATACTGTTCGGAATCGCTGTCAAAAGTTGCATATCATACTCGAATTCGGCATCAATAATGGAGTTTGCACCACATATAAGAAAATCTGATTTTTCATCAATTTTTGAAAGTTAATATTTATTTAAATTTGTTTCCGCTACGTGGTATTATTACGTATACCAAAATCTATCTTTATGTCAGCTATAAACCTATTTTTTCAGATCCTCGAAATTTGAGCTAAACCTTTTAGTAAATTACATGCCACCATGTTCACTGTAACAGTTTTAATGTAACAAATGAAATGAAAAGATGAACTGCCTTTACACATAAAATTAGTGAAACCAATCAAACACGCAAAACGACAATAGAATCACAAACATCCACAAAACTGTGATTGAATCCTAAAGAATCAGTCGCTTCTTCGTAATTCTGATTATTTTTGTGCATGACGCAAAAAGTCAAAGCTTCAAAGAATAGTACATTCTTAAGATATTTTAGAACATTTGCTCTTTTACTGTCAAATAATCTTTGTATGTCGGAGTCTTCCACAAAAATATCCTTATCATAAGTCACTTGCTGTATTCCTTTTAATAAAATGGTGTTTTCCAGTTGAATTGGAAATTTTCGCCGAAAATATTAGTACAACTAAGATTTTTAATAATCATTAACAATTTGCTGTGATCCAGTTGTAAAAACAGGTGATACCGTCTTTCAACAGTTTTTGTAGATGATTGTTGTTTTGAAAGCTTTGTAATATCTGTAATATATTGCAATAATGCCGATAAAAAATCACTAAACAGTTCTACCCAATCGAGTCAGGAGGAGCGAGTCATCAGTATCATTTTTGTAATCCTTGTTAAATTTTGAAACAAGGTATTTTACCTTGACAACTGGTGGAACACAAATTGTATGCTCAGCCTTCTTCGGCCGATTAAAAACAGTAAACGACAACTCGCGATCATCGCTTTCAAAATAATCAGGGTCCTGGACATAAAGGGTGAAGAAACATAAACGTTTTGATTTTCGACATAGTTGTTTCTTTAGAAAGACTGTGCTAAGGGTTGAATCGATACAACTCAAAACGTCATGACTTTTTCCAGGGAAAATGTAAGTATACCAATGACCCATATTTCAAGTCCCGCTTTGTTCCCCACCACTATATTATATAATACTTGCCACTGTTAATACTATTCAAAATTACTGTTAAAAGTTGTCGGCACTTTGCGGATCATATTCGAATTGGCATCGAATCATTGAGTTTGCACGAAATATAGCAAATTCTGATTTTTCGTTAATTTTTGAAGGTCCATATTTCGTTAAGTTTTGTTCTTCTGATGATCATAATTTGGTGTTAGACAAATGATTTGTACATGTGATCGAAGTCGTTGTCAAAAATGGTCGGCAAATAAAGCAACATATTCGAATTCGGCCTCGATATATCGAGTTCGCATTAAATTTCAAAAAATCTTGTTTTTGTCCAATATTTGAAGCCCCATAAATCATAAAGTCCCGCCTTGTTCCTTCAACTTTTATATATAATACTTGTCACTATTATTGCTATTCAAAATTACTGTTAAAAGTTGTCGGCACTTTGCGGATCATATTCGAATTCGGCATCGAATCCTTGAGTTCGCACGAAATATAGAAATCTTTTTTTTCATCAATTTCTGATGATCCATAGTGTGTTGAGTTTTGTTCTGCTGATGATCATACTTTGGTGTTAGACACTTGACGTGTACTTGTAATTGAAATCGTTGTCAAAAGTTGCCGGCAGTTAAGCCGTTATTTCAAAATATCAGTCAGCTGGGGGCTCGATGATGTTCGCCTGGGATCTCTTTAAAATTGATAATTACACGGAAGCAGAATCTGACTTCTTTAAACATGAATGAGTAACTTCTTAGTATATGTTTTTTTTTATATTATAATATTATATTAGGTAGAAAAAACGAACATTTATAGTTTTTAAGCAGATTCTAAAAGCATCCTATGTCGCGATTCGTTCTGCTAATTCTGTTCCGCATTTGTATTAGAAGGGTCATGACGAGTAAAACAACATAAAAATTTAAAGTCGCTATATAAATCGAATCATTGAGTTCGCACGAAATATAGCAAAATCAGATTTTTCGTCAATTTTTGAGAGTCCATACTTTGTTAAGTTTTGTTCCCTTGATGATCATAATTTGGTGTTAGACATTTGATTTATAAGTGATCGAAATCGATGTCAAAAGTTGTCGGCAATCAAAGCAACATATTCGAATTTGGCCTCGATATATTGAGTTCGCAATAAATTTCAGAAAAATCTTGTTTTTGGCCAGTATTTGAAGCCCCATAAATCATAAAGTCCCGCCTTGTTCCTTCAACTTTTATATATAATACTTGTCACTATTATTGCTATTCAAAATTACTGTTAAAAGTTGTCGGCCCTTTGCGGATCATATTCGTATTCGGCATCAGATCATTGAGTTTTCACGAAATACAGCAAAATCTGATTTTTCGTCAAATTTTGAAGGTCCATATTTCGTTAGGTTTTGTTTTGCTGATAATCATACTTTTGTGTTAGACACGTGATTTGTACATGTGATCGAAATCGTTGTCGGAAATTGAAGCAACATATTCGAATTCGGCATCGATATATCGAGTTCGCATCAAATTTTTGAAATTTTTGTTTTTGGCCGGTATTTGAAGCCCCATGAATCATAAAGTCCCGCTTTGTTCGCTTCAACTTTTATATATAATACTTGTCTCTGTTAATACTATTCAAAATTACTGTTAAAAGTTGTCGGCACTTTGCGGATCATATTCGAATTTGGCATCGAATCATTGAGTTCGCACGAAATATAGAAATCTTTTTTTCATCAATTTCTGATGGTCCATAGTGTGTTGAGTTTTGTTCTGCTGATGATCATACTTTGGTGTTAGACACTGGACGTGTACTTGATATTGAAATCGTTGTCAAAAGTTGTCGGCAGTTAAAGCAACATATTCGAATTCGGACCCGATATATCGAGTATGCATCAATTTTAGAAATTTTTGTTTTTGGCCGGTATTTGAAGCCCCATAATTCATAATGTCCTGCTTTGTTCCTTTCAACTTTCATATATAATACTTGTCGCTATTGATACTATTCAGAATTACTGTTTAAAGTTGTTGGAACTTTGCGGATCATATTCGAATTTGATCTCGAACCCTAGATTTGCATGTTTTTTTCGATATATTTGTGTTCCCATCAAATGTATCCTTTTTTAATTTGTATTTTTTTTATTATTCTGCAAACATATTCTTATACGTTTTAGTTTTTCTGTTTTATGTGATATACAGTTATGTATGTTGTAATTACCACTACCAGCTGAATGTGCTTAAACTTGTATTTTGATCCGAGTTGTTTCCTTCGGAACATATTTTTCCGAATAGGATCCATTTATTCCTTAAAAATATTGTAATAAGAGATTATTTTCCGTATGGGAACCGGTTGAAAGTTTTTCTGCTGAAATTCTGCTGGATTCACAGTGGTGCCTGAGTTGAGGTTGAATTCATATTTATCCCGTGAGGGAAAGCCGATAACTTGGCAAATTTTATTTTTTAATAAAATAGTTTTGTTGTCGCAGTTAGGGATACGAGAGTATGGAAACAAGTGGCAGTATATTGGTAAGGTGCTTTGGTGCCGGAGACGTCGTGTAAAGAGGTACCGGTACAAGCCTAAGGACCTACCGGTAACAGGTAAAAAATAATAAAATTCAATTGGCGATTGGAAATAATCCACAAAATGATTAAATGTGGCAATAACTATTATTCCTAATTAGACAAAAGATGTACATAATGAAACTAGTATATATTAGAAAAATTTAGTCCATCATTGAAAACATGAATGAAGTAAACACTGTACGGTACCGGTAGTACCGTACCCAAGCAAACAGCATATGGAAAATACATCAATTTAGTTGTTGCAATATCATTAAATTTTGAAATTGGTGAGTATACTGGCACTTGACAAAGACATAAAAGATAGCTAAGTATTTGTACACAATCTGAGACCAAATTATTGATCATGGGTGAAGTGACTCACCGGTACCGTACCGTATATGGTTTGGATCCAAGATAACCTGTCTGAGCCTGATGTTGGCAAGATGAATAGTTTGGTTATTGTATGAGTGGCACATGGCTATGCACTGACACGGTGGGGGAAATAACATGTTCAATATTTACAGAGTTTCTATCTATTTCAGTTCCTGTGGACTGTGGATGAAGTCAAGTGTTGAGCTGACAATGACAAGGGGTTGAGGGTGTCAGCACATCAAACAGATGTGGTGATCGGAGACAGGTAAGATGAAAGCATGACCTTCCTATATTTTATTTTAAAAGAGACATATGTGCTTTCTGTAAACTTTGTGAAATATTATTCTATATTATGACGCCTTTGTATTTCAGGGAATTTTGAGATTTGCTCAGTGAAAAGCAAGGTACAAAAAAATTGGACTTGGTTGAAGAGCGAGTGTTGTGTTCATGCACAGAGGTAAGCGAAACAAAATAATTGTCGAAAGCTGTGGGCAAGTGGTTGTTTTGAAATTGGTGCATAACTTTGAAGATCTCTAGAGTGTGAATACCAGATAGTTTTAACACCTTTGTTTTATGGTATAGGGTGTTTGTACGAATAGATGCTCTAGAGAGGGTTCTAACAGCTTTATTCTGTAAGATCTCCAATTTATGAATGTTAGTTTGCGTTGCTGAGCCCCAAGCAGTTATGGCATATTGTATGTGGGATTGAATGAGAGCAAAGTAAACAGTTCGCAGGGTGGCATCCTACACATAATGCCTGAGTTTTCCCAATATCCCAACCGATCTCGACAATTTCTTATGTAATTCGATAGTATGGGTGTTCCATTTTAAAATATTATCTATATGGAGCCCGAGATATTTATAGGATTGGACGACTTCCAAGGCAACCCCCCTGATTTTGATTAGAATGTTGGCATGTGTTAGCGATTTTCGGCTGAAAACCATGACTTTAGATTTTTCGACATTTACAGTAAGTTTGTTGCATAACATCCACTCATATATTTTTTTTATTTCTCAGTTTACAGTGTGTTGGAGTGTGGTCAAGTCTTTTCCATTAGCAAGCAGGCAGGCATCATCGGCGAAGAGCTTGGTTAGAAGATTTGAGCAGTTTGACAAGTCATTTAACCCTAACCCTGGACAATTCCGCACTGAATGGGCAACATTGGGGACTTTTGAGAACCTAATTCAACAAATCGAAAACAACCACTCAGGTAATTAGCTAGTAGTTTGCTTACATTACCCTGAAACCATAGTGTTGCAACTTTTGGATAAGAAATTTGTAGTCCACCGTGTCGAAGGCTTTCCTTTAGGTCAAGGAAAGCACAGCAGGTTAGGGTTAGGCCATAATTTTATTCCAATTTTCCTTATTTTAGTTCTATTACGGGTTCGGTTACTAGCCAAGTGACTCCCTAACCCGAGGGTTAGGCCATAATTTGCCTTATTTTAGTTCTACTATGAGTTCGGGGACTGGCATAGCGACTATCTTAGTATTTGTCCCTTAAATTATGGCCTCATCCCAACCTGGTACACATACTACGTTCCGGTGTTTGCCATCTTGGTTCACATGCTTTGGGAGTACCTACATGGGGGCCCCTGGGTGATTTTGAGGGTGACATAAGTATTCGCTAAGTGCCATTCGTGGGGGGTTAATTTGAAGTAAATTGATTGACTGTTTAAATGCATCGTTTGTTGGCTCAATGACTTTTATTCCTTTCGGAATATGAGGGACCACCTATGCCCTCGATTCTAGCCTGATTTAAACAATGTTTTGGACGCGTGCATTAGGCTACATCGGTCCTATTCAACATTGTGCCATTTGGTACAATATATGTTTATTGTACATTAGCTGTTAAGCTAGTTATTTGTAAATAAACTCTTTTTATCTATAGTTTCATAGGATCCGGCCCAGTAAGCAATTATCTGAAACCAACCCACTCGGCGAAGTAATTTCCCACCCCTGGCTTGAATGCATTTCTTCATTTGTTGGATACGGAATATGATGGACCACCCGGTACAATTAACTGATTCCAGACCTGATATTCTATGATTAAGTCATCCAATCCAATGTTCTTCAAATAAAGAAAAGTCATTAAGAGCGTAGTTCTGCCGACATTTTGTTTTGGCTGGAGAGACGTACTTTGTAAATATTGCTCTTCGAATTATCTTATTGCTCTCATCGATGGATTCCAAACTCTAAAATTTTGATCATTCTCAAATTAAATATTTGAACCTTGGGTGTCACTGCTTGATAACCAGTTTTGATTTCCCTGCGACTTTCCTTCCCAAGTTAAAAATGTTTAATTATCATTTTCTCGTAATTTGTTTTCGATTGTTGTTGATTTTACTGGTTAGAAAAATAAACTTGACTTGATAATTTATTCCTATGGAGACAGGAATCCGTCATAAACTTTTTCGATATATCAATCAGGTCAGGTCAGATGTCAATACAAGAAAATCCACCAAGTGCATCAATTTAACAAAGTCATATGCAGGATCTGAGCCGTTAAAACTACAAGATACTGTGGTTGAACTTGAGAATGGAAGAAATCTTATGATGGTTGCATTGACACGAACAGGTTTGGGTCATTTGTTTCTTGTTTTATATTTTTATCAGAACTTTGCATGAATGATAGTTACTAGACGTCTCAACATACTTAAATGGATACCCCCGAAGTATGTGAACCAAGATGGCGGACACCGGAACTTGTACCAGGCTAGGGTTAGGCCATAATATTATTCCAATTTTCCTTATATTAGTTCTACACTGACACTTACTAGATGTATGAGTACGAGTTATTCCATTCTAATGGTTTGGCTCGCTTCGTATCTTTGGATAAATGTGACTTGTAAATTATTACAAATTTGTAACATAATATAAATTTAAAGTTGAATTTATATAATTAAAATTGAAAAACATATATCATAGTTTTGAGTCCCACTTCCATGAAACTGTATTCAGGTTAATGTTTTATGACAGTAGTCACACATACAAACCTTGGTGAGTATGGTTGTAACCATTGTGATTTCGAACAGTCCTACAGCCCTTGTGGAATCCCTGATGTTGATGATGGCTTATAATGCCTTGTCGAGTAACGTCTCTAATAATTGATTGTGCTATCTGTTGCGTCACTCGCTAGTTATCTTATGTTGTGTGTTAAGCTGAGTGTTAGCGTATTCGGTTGAACCCTTATTCTATAATAGCTTGGGCGTAGAACTTAACATATAACCAAGACAAATGACTTTCAGTTTCACATTAGGAACTAAATATTGCCTAAAAAGAACAGTTTCAGCGAATCTCCCCAGTAGAACTATATGCATGGCCAAGGAAGTGGGGGTTCAGAAATTTCTAATTGCCAAGTTAGACAAGAGTTTTAAGCTACGGAAGCAATGTATGAAGTTTGAGTCATATACAGGATCTGAATTTCACATTCCTAGAACGTAAGGCCTTTAAACCCCATGGGTACATCGTATCTGATTGATTTTACTGAAAAACTATGCTTGAACTGGACTAGTCTAAATAAAACATTTCATTTATATTGAAGGCATACCATGAATCCACGCATGATCGCAGCAGAAGCTGAATAAGGTCCTGTGATAGAACTTTGATGAATTATATTTGACTAAGGTAAGATCGCAAATAAGTACGGTCGCATATTTAGAGTGCATTTAAAGTTTTGGCAACACCTTTGTCGATATCAGTATTGATATTTTCCAATTTGGGTCAGACATGGGCAAAGTACAGCCTGTGGGCCATATCCGGCCCGCTAGATCAGTGGTTCCCAACCTTTCTATCCTGGCGGACCGGTAAAATTAAATTAAATGTACTCGCGGACCGGCAAAAAATTGAAATGACTGGAACAGATAATATAATGCAATGTCGGGCACTCAAAAAAGGCACACTTAAAAACATTTCACACGAAGAAAAACTATCAAATAATGTGCCGGCCAAAAATTGAAATGTATAAAACATAATTTAATACCATCTATTTCGTAATAAAATGCAGTACTGGGCAGTGGCGTAGCAAGACTCTCGTGACCCCGCAAAAATATTTCGGGGAAATGACCCTAAAAACTCTCGGACATAAGCTAAAACAACGCTTTTTTTATTTCGTCAAAAACCATAACATATCGCTATTAAAAGGCAATGGTAACATAAAATTTGCCGTTTATCTTGGTTACTTTATATTTTTTTCATACGTGCGTCCTCTTCTGCCCTTTTTCTGCGTTTCTGTGCGCCACTGAGAGGTTTTGCTTTCGACATCATTGTGACAGCCTTCGCAATTTTTCCGGTGCAATCAAACCACAAGACGCCGAAAATCGACGACTCCCTGGCATTGTTACTTAACAAAACGATTTGAGCAGAACTAACATCAACGTTAGATGTGCATTACTGGTTTTGCAATGCAACTTTTGGTTTTGCGGCTTACATTTCTAAATTCTAACAGCTTTGGCCCCTTGGCGCTGTGGGTCCTCCCGCGACCGCGGGGGTGGATGCTACGCCACAGGTACTGGGCACCCATTATGCGTGAGAAAGGCACGCATAAAACATTTCACATAAAAAGCATGTACATGCCAAATATTGTATAAACACAATTAACTCTAGTGAGAATTTTGCTGCTGTTTCGTTTCCAATATTGGATTGCAAACGAGGCCTCAAAGAAGTTTCTGCAACACGTAGCTCTGCAGAGGCGAGTAGCCGATTTCGTTGCTTCGTTTTAATTAAAGCTAGTGATGAAAATGTTTTTTCGCATAACGGAGTAACTGATTGAAAATACGGACAACAGTTTGATTGCTTACTTAGCGATGGGTATTCGCCATCAAGAGATATCCAAAATTGTGACAGTGATTCTTTCTTAAATCTGGACTGTAAAGTTGAATCACAATTTTAATTAAGTTTTTTTTTTTTTGACTGGCAAGTTGGCACCAGGATCAAAATCCTACTATGTCTTCTGATCTCTGCCGCCTATGTTTTTTGCGCGTCTCGTGACCACCTGCAGTGTCGCAACAAGTTCATATCTTACTGGAATATTATACTGCTCTTGACAGTTTTCTGGTTTAAACAAAGGAAATATGCATAACGTTTTATATAAATGGTCATAATAATCAGGAATATGGCGCAGAACAGAAAAAGCACGCGTGCCAATTTTTAGCTTTTGAATTTTGCATATTTGATGGAGTGCATTCGCGATGAATCAGAGCCGAAAAAGCAAAAAATGTGATTACTCGGCGCCAAGATGTCGCAATATGACGGCAGGAGAGAAATTGCGTAATAAACCAACGCAACCTCATCTTCGGTAAAGCGATCGGAGCGCATTCGCGATGAATCGGGGCCAAAAAAGAGAAAAGTGTGATTACTCGGCGCCAAGATGTCGCGAATTACGTCGCAATATAACGATGAAAGAGAAATTGCGTAATAAACCAACGCAACTTCGTCTTCGGCAAAGCGATTGAGACGGAATAAAAACAACGAAATTTCTCGCGGACCGGCAAAAAAGCTTCGCGGACCGGCGGTTGGGAACCACTGCGCTAGATGATACAGTCTCACCCGTCTGAAATGAAAATAGCTCAAAGAATTAGTTGAGATTGCGATTAAATTTAGTTTCAGCACAGGGCATACTGTTTTCCACTCTTGCTTTTTAGCACTGTTAATATTCTTCATAAAATGTAACATTTACGTCTCACTTACATGGCCCGCCAGTCGAGATGGGCAAAATTGTAGCCCCTTGTCCAAAAACCTTGCCCATTCCTACTCTAGATCGAAAGGCAAAGCATTTCCATCAAGGCTATTTGTCTTGCATGTTAATAACAACCTGAATCAGAGTTTAAAACTTTTAATGGTGAAAATAAAGTTGGAATTTTTATATATTTAGTTTAGGATAGGATTTATATCCCTGGGAATGGGAAGCTGATAAGACGGCTTAATCATAAGGCGAGTCACAGCCTCTCGTCTGGTTACCTGTCCAAGTCTGGTATGGGATTAGTTAGCCAGATATTTTTTTTTTGCAAGCATGGACTCGATGGTGTAGCGAGCTGTAAGTGACTAAGTAATTGCGTGAACCACTCTACAGCGACGAGGAGTCTAGCAATCCTCTCACAGATAGCCATATCCGAACCCACGCAGGGTAATCAGAGGTAGCATATTCCTAACCTAACGCTTAGCACAATGTGCCACACCGCCGAGCCCTGTTTAATAATCACTCTTGACAATTTATTGAAGAAGAGTTGGTAACACCAAAGTTTTTCATTAGAGTTTGGGGCGGCTTATTCACCTTTTACGCCAAAGTATCGAGAATACAAACAAGATTGAAGGAGATGTTGAAAGAGCACCTGTTATAAAGCTGCAATTGGTGAGTTATATTTGTCTGTTTTCCACTGTAATTAGGATTAAAAAGTTTCATAAAATGCACTTCTCCTAAATTTCTATCAAGATCTTCCGTGTTGGTAAGAGAAGTTTGCATGCGCCAAAATTCTCACTCAGCTGAGCCTTTTTTGAAAAAGTTTCAGAGTTTGGCAAAATCTAAAAACACAACATTCCTGACGCTGATTTCTGAAATAATATCAGGCCGATCGCTATGGTACCACTACTACATTCTTCGGTACTCCTGTAGTATGTGAACCAGGTCAGGGTTAGGCCATAATTTTATTATTACGAATTCGGGGACAAGCCAAGTGACTCCCGTAGTATTTGTACCAGAAATTATGGCCTAACCCTAACCCCGTACACACATACTACGTTCCGGTGTCCGCCATATTGGTTCACACACTCCCGGAGTAACCTTTTTTCTATACTGCGCTTACCAGGGCATTACTTCCCAATTTATCACATCCTGGGTGAGGGCATGTGTAAGCTACAATCCCCATAAATTTGAGTCCAAAAGCTAGGTAAACTTATACAACAATCTCTGTTTTACATTCCTAATGAATCAATAAATTTGACTACATTGTATTATGGTGGATCATTCACACACAAAGTAAAGAAATCGTTTCAGAAAGAAGGTGAGTCCACTCGAAAATGGCGTTCTTTCTCGATTAATTTAATAATGACCTGTTTTTTGGTCCCCTATATGTGGATGACATCAATTCGGCTCAGTGAAGCACGTACTTGTGGGTGATCTTCGTGGGTCATTTTCAGGAACGTAGCCAAATTTATAATTGCAAGTTGCAACATCCAACCGGTTCAGACCGGGGCCCAGTAATCGTGGGTTTTCGAGATCCTTTAGACTAAGAATTCCAAGCTCTTAATGTATGATATAGTCCAGGAGTCGTCGAACTGCGGCCCACGAGCTAATTTGGGCTTTGCTGTGAGCAGCTTTATTTTAAATGCATTACAATCCGAATAAATTTCGTACTCGCTTGTCAGGTAGTCATTTGGACGATGTACCGCAGGCAAGTATGTCATAAAAACAATGTGTTCTTGTATGATATATTGAAAAATGCCACACACACATGTCATTGTGGCAGGCTTTTAACGTAGCAATAGAAAGTACGAATGCGCCATAATTTGAAGTTTAATGTGGCGATTGTCGAAGGCGGAAATGTGTATATTTGGCCCGCGAGTACATAAAGTTTGTCGACCACTGATATAGTCCCACCATCAATAAGCCACGGTGGACACTCTTAACTGCCATGCCGCCACTACCACAAAAGCAATGTCTATAGGTAACACCTCTCAAACAACCAGTCTTTGACCAAAAATTATCAATATTTTCAGCAGAAATTGATCTGATGAGCCCAGCTCCTCGATGCTCACAGAAGAATCTACTTGGACCAGAAATCGTAAAAAGTTTAACAATACGGCACGAGAGAACACAACCGACTGACGTCATCCAAAAATTTTATTTCTGCATATTTAAACGCTCATTTCCTCGGCCAGCTAATGATTATTAGCTAATCAAGATTGTTTATTATGGCGATACAGTTCTTTTTATATATATTCAAAACTATAAAAGTGATTTTGTAAAAGGAAACTGGGGCTAATGATCCAAAATAAAGAATTACCTTTGGTGTGGTCTGATTTCAATACGAAAGATTCGGATTCGGACCGGGGCCCACCAGTTGAGTAGCCCTGGTATATTCTTATTGCAGTAGTAAAGAAACCGGACTTATATTCGCGATTATGTGATAAAATAAACTACTGACTGACATACAGTTAGACTACCTGCCAAAACGAGCGTTAACTCTACATTTATCAAACAGACGAACATTCGCATAATCTAAGTATCAGTTCGGCAAGTGTTACACCCAAGTTGTGTAAAGGGACTGAAACCTATGGGCAGGGAAATATTCACTTGGCTAACACAGACAGTCCCCGAACTCTTAATAGAACTAAAATAAGGAAAATCAGAATAAAATTAAATCGGTACACATACTACCAGAGTACCCAATTGGAAAACTTGTACTATTATCCATACTTTGTACCTTAAATGTATACTGTTGCCAACATATGGATCTTGGCTATCGAGATTGTCATATTGTGAAATCTAGTGTGATTATATTATGTCCGTTTTAATAAATCCACGTCACCAGTGATTTCTCCACAACCCCTATAAGTGGTGATATTCAGAAAGTAGCTTGTATACATGAAAAACATTTTTATAAATTACAAATAGTTTTAAATATTTACCATCCTCTTAATTTAAAAACACTGAAATACAAAAACTGGGGGCATAGTGCGTGTCGCTTTCAAGTTATTTTCGTTGAACTGAGTGTCACTTATTCCAATTCGGAAATAGATTACAAAAGTTGGGAGGGAAACCACTGTTTACATAAATATAGCGCCAATGGCAGCCAACAATATGAACCCCGGAGATCTGCTTTCCAGTGATGATTTGTAGAGTTACGGGCGCGGCTACATAAAGTGAGAATGATTGAAATCTTAACTTCCGGCAATTTTTTTTTGTTATGGCTATGATACATATTCGTGAAAACAGTCAAATTGGGGTCTAGTTCTGAAAAAAGGTGGTCTATTCTAAAAATATATTCACAACAATCTTTGCTGGTTTTTACGATTGCGTTTATATGAAATGTTTTGTCGAATAAAATTTATAAGTAACAAGTTTTTTTTTTATACTTGGTTGTTTGTTGTTGGTGGAACTTTAAAAACACGTATTAGCACTATTTTACGACGCGGACACAGGCACCTTGGTATATCTCTATCGTCTATCTACTTTTACGACACACTCACAGTTACGAACGTATATATATATAACACAGTATTTTACGACGCACTTTATACAAGACAAGGCACAGTTGGGAACATATATATACATTTTTTAGCACACACACATATATACATTTATATCACAGTATTTACAACACATATTATACAAGGTAAAGCTCAGTTTCGAACACAAGATATACAGTTTACAATCCTGACACTCAATCCATTACTCTATCGCTACCTGCCTACCATCAGCGTCTGAATAATCGCTTTTGTGTCTCAATTTTTATCGGATGATGCTTTATTTTTTTTTTATAATTAGCTACCAGGACTGGATTACTTGTGCTAGAAGTAAAGCCAAATCCTTCGTACACCGCTCTGGCGTAGTTGGTAAAGCAGTCGGTCTTAACAGTGTCTCTCTAGTCCGATGGCCATGGGTTCCAATCCGCCCAGGCTTACCTTTTTAAGTAATTAAAACAAATGGAGCAAATAAGTTAATAAGTGAAAATTAGAAGTACATCTTGCGTCACTCACTGTGGTGCAGTGGGCAGGCCCATGGTGCGTTGATCCAGAAACATGGGTTCGACACCAGCTTATCGGACTGTCAACTTCGTACTTTTATTAGTAAAAATTAAAATTGAAGAAAAAATAAAATAGTAGTGTTAAACTCATATTAAGAGTGTAAACGGGGGGACTTACCTCAGGGGGGTAGGCGCCTGTGATGTACGCTCGGAACCAAAGTTCGAGTCCCGAAGAGGTTGCAAACGGTGAAAGTTCGAGAGGTGTGGCGGCGCCGTAGGCGCCGCGTTAAAACACTAGGAATGAGCCTCCCGATGCGGCAGCGCCTGCGGCGCTGCATAAATACACTTGGAATGAGCACTAACGTACAAAGAAGACTCTACCTTTTACTGAAATTTTCCATTTTCGGTGATTTTTTTTTCCAAAGGGGTTTGGACTTAGTATATTTTTGACTCTTTCCCACTTATTATTATAGATAGACACTTGTTTTTTTCTTCTCATTTTTATTGCCGTGTGATTCGTGTACAACAAGTTTAGTACATACATACATCAACAAGGAAAAAAACTACGAGGAACTTTACCAGTTAAAAATGGAAATGAAAACACATCAATAACGGAAACCAGATTACCAAAACATTGTAAAATAAACACTGAAGTATTTAAAAACTAAATGAGACTTGGTCGCTGAATGGACTCATAGAGTAAATAACTTACGAAACAAAAATATATGAAAGACATATAGCGCAATTTATCACAGTTTTGGGGTCGGGACTTTTACATATGGGCAATCGGGCCTCGTTTTGAGTGAAGGGATGGAAATAATTTAAACGTTAGTACGATTGATCACGGTTTTGGGGCCAGGGCTTTTACATATGCGCGACTGAGCCTTGTTCTGAGTGAAGGGATGGGAATAACTTGCAACGAAATAACGTTAACATGTAACTGAAGGGACAAAATATAATATATAAACCTATAGGGCTCGAATTTAACGCAATTTTTGTGGGCAATGCCGAAAATGCATAATGAGGGAAGAATACTGCATATGACATATAAAATTAAAGAATGTAAAATAAGTAAGGGACAAAATTATATAAAAATGCAAAAACATAAAATAATATTTATCACTGTTGGGCTCAAATTTAGCACAATCTTGGTGGGCAATGCATGCCGTTTCGGCGAATATGCATAATGAGAGAATACTGCTTATGACATATAATAAAATGCAAATGAGTAACGGAATAAAATTATACAGAACATAAAATTGCCATTGATTACTGTTTCTGGGCCCGTTTGTCTGGGACTTGGCGCAAATTAGGTTGGCAATGCCGTTTTGGCGAATATGTGAAAATGCATATTCAGGGGATATTGCTCATTAAGACATATGAAAATAAAGAATGTTAAATAAATAGATAAATAGCGGAACAATATTATATGAAAACGCAAAAGATTACTGTTTCAGGGCCTGTTGGACTCGAATTTAGCAAATAAGGTGAGCAACTTGTTCAGTTTGGGTGTGTCATGCTTGTCTGGGATTTTGTTGGGAGCAAACGTAAAAAAGCTCAAGAAATTTTCTAGTTGCAGCTACGCGCAAGATGTCTTCAATTGAGTGGGAAATGGAGGGAACTAGATCTTCTACAAGTATGCGAAAATGCGCACCCCCAGTTAAATTTGGCGCTTGGTAGTTAACTAGAAACCCAGGGCTTTTGTATTTCTCGAGCCTAGCCTGCTGATCTCGAATCTAGTTTAGAAGAGAAGGCGTGAAATACATACAAAAGACAGACTGAATGACGGACAACTAAAGACAAAAATATGCACCTAAAAACATCACGAACATTAATTAATCAGTTTTGTTGGCGTGGACGTTTGGAAGAAACATTGCCGTACAGGGATTTCACATTTCAATGCGTGTTTGGAACGAAAGAACGGAAAATGTGGTGGCATAACGGCGAATACACTCAGGAATTTGGTTTGAGAGTGGGCTTAGTAGTTACTGGAAAGCTCTTACGTACCAGTGACGGCTTGTCTTCAGTTATGCTCATGGCAAAAGCAGTATGTTCCCCAGGGTGTTTACAAAATTAAAGAGGTGGGTGCTTGGGCGTGACGTTTAAATAACAAGACTTAAATTCAAACTTCAAATAAAACGTGAAGATAAAATCATTGCTGGTCAATGGTTAGTGGAGAATAATCGAAGAGAGTACGTGATGGCATGAAAATATTTGCAAATTGGACATAAATCACTATTTCGCGGGAATGCAGTGGCGTGTCTAGGGTGTGGCAACCATGGCCAGTGACAGGGACAAAAAACTGTGGAAAATATCAATCATATAAAGTTTCAATAAAATAAATTCAAATTGGGAATAACTGAAACTCGTATTTTACTCAAATAATACGTACAGGTATCTCAATTCAATAATAATCGTTATAAATTGTCAAACAAATATCAAGGGGGCGCATTTTAGACTGGGCTGTCATGGGCGCCATTCTACATAGATATGACACTTCGTGCGAGGATTTTTATGGCAGATTGGACGTCAATGCAGAACTGGAAAAAAACGGGATATCCACCCCCCAAACGTGGAAATTGTGAGAACCTGGTATCACGGAATTTATGAAAACCCCAAAACAATTGGTCTAGTGCTGACATGGGCAAACTACAGCTCGCGGGCCAAATCTGGCCGGTTGGGTAATTCAATTTGGGCCGCGACAACCAAATTTTGATGTTTTAGATGAAAATAATTCAATAAATTTGTTGAAATTGCGATTAAATTAAATTTTGACACGAGGCTCATTGTTTTTCCTCTTTTTGAATATTTTTCATAATATGTAACTTCACACTAACATGGCCCGCCAATCCAAGTGGGCAATTTTTTTGACCTTTGATCGAAAAATCTAGTCCACCCCTTATCTAGTGGTGTTGGCCTCTGCGTAATAGGGGCAGCTTGTATGAGTACTGACAACAGAATATGAAATTCAAACGATAAATAAAAAGACATTAACATTATAACAAACGGGAGAGAAAAATGAAAATGTAATAAAGTGGCAAATCATCTGAAGAACGAGCGTCTTTGTTTTGTTTGTTCAGGAAACCTGAAAAAGAAAGAATACTGTAAGTCTTCACTTTATGAATTTCAGAATCAATGTTTAAACAAGTAATGGTTAGGGATGGACATTTTCGAATACCTGATGATTTCAAAATCGAATCTCGAATAATTGGGAAAATTGTATGTAACTTTCTTATTGTATCAGGTCCCCCATACACACAAATTACTGAAAACCTAGTTTACATCACTCAGGCAGATTGTTGAGCCTGCACACACAATGTCACGTGTCACCTGCACGACAACACGTTTTGTCAATAACAAAAAACTGCTATCTCAGACTTACAAATATATCATTCTCAAGCTTTAGAGACATTCGATTTCGGACTATTATTTATTTTTAAATCTGAGGGCTTGTTCTAGATTTTACCGGTTAAAATATTTTTAAACTGATGCCTGTTGGGAAATTCAATAAAGTAACATTTTACGTCACACCTGCATGGCCCACCCCTTCCTTAGCCTGTATTTTTAAATATTGAAGATAATAAAATATCGCTATATGGTTATGAAGTCCAAAATACCTAACTGCTAAGTTTGACCGTAACAACGTCTTGAGGTTTTATTAGGCGTTTCAAGCTACGAAAATAAATACTCGTGTAGTATGTGCACAAAGACGGCGGACACTGGAACGCGGTATGTATACCAGGTTATGCCATAATTTCAGCTACAGAAACGACAGGAGTCACTTGGCTAGTCCCCGAACTCGTAATAAAACTAAAATACGGAAAATTGAAATAAAATTATGCCCTAACCTGGTACACATACAACGTCCCGATATCCGCCATCTTGGTTCGCATAGTTCGGGAGTACCCTTTTTGTCAATTTGCTAAATATCAAGGGAAATTTAATCTTATTTTTAACTCACCTTTAGATATCTAGTTTCGTTCTTGAAGTGTTTCATATTCTCTGCATTCGCCTACATAAAAAAAATAAATACATGTCATATATACGTTTGGGTGCAGTATGCTCCCAGCTTTCTATCTCGATAGGGGGAACGGGGACATTTTCACATTTAGGGGGTGGTAGAAATATTAGGGATAAAACTATTTGTAACTTATAAAAATGTATCTGACTGATCATCTTCGCCGGTATATGAGTCACTTTCTAAATATTCAAATACAGCTTCATTTACTTATGAATTGAAGTACGGTGTCACACCTGAGAATTAGGGGGTGTAGGGAAATCACTGAATATGTTGCTACTACCCAACGATCGGTATCTGCCCAGGAGCAGTGTTCTAAACTTAGAGTCGCGATCGGAGTCATCAACCCCTGAGTCTGATTGGCTGAAAAATAGGTCACATGTCTGAAAATGTTTTGTCGTCTTCTGTATGACATTTACCTCACACGAAGGCGGCTCCGTTTTGCGCGAAATCTCGCCTTTTATTTACGTTGTGGAAAAGTAATTTCAGTGTATTTTGGAAGTGATTTTCAGCTTTATCCAAATCGAGTTTTTCAAAATATCGTCTGGCTTCTTCGATTGGTAGTGTAATTATACGTTTTTGAAACGGCAAAGTCCTCTAACAACATATGTTTTAGGTTCATGTAAGATAATTTTCCTACTCTATGTGAACTTTTAAAGACAGACCCGATGACGACCAACAACCCGTCGATCGACGTATAGTAAAGAGAACAGTTTCTATGTAGGTTTGTAAAACATGTGGATTGCAAAGAAAGACCGTACCACGGGGCGAACATAATTATCAATTTTGGCAACGATAAATAGCCAAATGGTGGTCAGTCGAATGCATAACAAATTTATTTTTTTTCAACTAGTTTTATCACTAATGGCAAGATATTTTTCCCCTTATACTGAATTTATAAATTTAGATAGAAGATATTTGTAAATCCCTTTTTACACAAATATACCATAACCAAGCGCACTCCAACTCAACCCGTCACACTTTCACCAGAAAAAAAAAACACAAAAATGACCATCGGCAACAATATATTTTCACACATAATAAGAAAAAGTGAAATAAAACTGGCACTGTAGTGTTGGCACGGAGGTATGGCTCAAACTACTAAGCGTTGGTTATGTGCAACAGGATTGCGGGTCTCCTCGCCGCCGTACGGTGGTTCACGTAACCGATGGTCGGTTACGGCTTCCCCCACCATCAAGTCCATACTTCTGGAAACAAATAACTATCATCTAATCCATTACACGACATGGAATGATAACCGGACGAGAAGCTGTTGTTCGCCATATGATTGAGCCGTCTTGTTGGCTTTCCTCTCCCCCGGGGTGAATATTTGAAATCCTATATTGTTCCTAATATTATCTTGTTTTTGTGTGCCCTCAAAAAAATCTTTCGCTTAAGTAATTTTTTGTGGGAGAGGAGGGAGATATGGGGGTCATATCCCCTCAGGACCTTCAGTAAGAGTTTTCAACGATAGGACATTACTGTAGGAAAGATGCCCCTGCCCCCCAAAAAACAGTTAATTTTGGAAAGGCACACTATTGTAGGATAAACTGGGCACCATTGGGCCATGCAGGGATTTGGTGTATTATGACAGTAAATTCATGAATTATTCTTTACATTTTCGCCGAGAGCCTCATTACCAAGCAAATTTATGAACCACTGTGGGTTATGCTTGAAAGATAGGTAATTGCTTTTTATTGCAATCCAGCCAGAAAGGGGTCGTATTCCAGAATCATATTTTGAAATGATGGCTTCAATAAAAAAATTAGAAATTAACTCGATCTTTGGTGAAAAAAAAAACAAGCGGTGATTAGAAGTTTTCGTCCGAACGGACTTGAATAATGATATTTTTCAGTTTTCGTCAATTGCTATAATACTGATTTATGGGTGCTCCTGTTGTATACATAACAGGGCATTCTCCCTTAGGATAATTTGCTTTACTTTGGTTCGTACACTTTTGAAGTGTAGATCACTAGCTGAGAATCAAATAAAGGTCCTGGCAAAGGGTGAGATTCAATGGAAAATTTTAGAAAACACCGATCTGAAAACTACCTAAGAGTTCCTGAAACCTTCCCAGAAATATATAGAGAATAATTGCTATTATTTGGTATAGTTTGGGTCTTAAGACTATGAAAAAATGTGAAAACAATAATTGCAAAAAACCAAGCAAATTAAAAGTGAAAAAGTAAATCTGTGGTGAAACACACAAATATGTAACTCAGTGGTCGGCAAACTGTGGGCCGCCAAGTATTTTTGATAAATTTCAATTATCGCAGTGATATACAAAAAAGTTCAATAAATCCAACATATCAATTATTGCCGAATGGTTTGTTCATATATCAAACAATTGTACTTTTCATTAATTACAACTAAACAAATTAATTGCCCATTAACAAGTTTATAAAATGGTTAAATTGAAACATTTTGGCAAAATCTTGACAGAGGCATGCTAGTCTTGACTTTAATGCGATGGTTGTTTGGGATTGAAACCTGCTTTATTTCACATTTGGGTCTCACTAAAAACGAAATAAATATTCAAACACAGGTGTTCCAGAAGTAAGTGAACCAAGATGACGGACACTGGAACGTAGTATGTGTACCAGGATAGGGTTGGGCCAAAATTTCAGGTACAAATACTACGGGAGTCACTTGGCTAGTACCCAAACTCGTAATAAAACTAAAATAAGGAAAATTGGAGTAAAATTGTGGCCTAACTTGGAATCCATACTACGTTCCGGTGTGCCATCCTGGTTCACATACTTCGGGAGTACCAAAAATTGAATGTGAATACACCCATGGAATGAAAAATCACAGCAATAAACCTTCGTGATGAATTACAATTCCACAACCAAAACAATCAATTGGTGCCGCATCCAGGTAATTCAGGGGCGTCACGAGTTCCCAAAGGGAATGGGGTCTGAAATTTCCAATTGCAAAGTTAAACTAACGGGCCAGCCAGGAGCATGAAAACATAGGTTTCCAAGATTCTTTAAGGTGTAAACCGGGTTGGGAAATTACTTACTGAGTGGGCCAGTCACAAATAATAATTTGGAACTATGAATAAAACATTTACAACAGGTAGGCTAACGTTTATATAATAATAAGAAGCACAAAGTAACAATCAGGGTCATTATGACATTATTTTAATCAATCTTTTCAACAGAATTTCATTATCCATCAAACTATAATCGTAATTTCGGCAGACATAAGTGGGCCGGATTCGGCCCGTGGGCCATAATTTGCCTGCCCCTGGTCTAGGGAGTGTTTCAAGCTTTGAAAAATTGTCATGTATGATACAAAGAAATGTTTTCTTTTTCACATTTTAAAAAGGGGGTCCCGATCCCCAGAACACCCTGGCTGCGGCCCTGTGCAAATCGCTAGGATCACAGTTGATTACCCTACATGGGTTAGCTGTATCAAATGTGGGGAAAAGGAAAACTTTGGGGGGAAACTTTGTGCAGAGGATTGAAAAAATCAAAAAATATAAATGTAAACACTGAACTTAATATTCTTTCACTTTTCTGGTATAGTTTCTGTTTCCTCCTGAAAAAGGGGAAGAAATTACATGAATTGCTGGATAAAAGATGAATAAAAGAATTTGCTCAAAGCAAAGTAACGCACACTCACTTAAAATTAAATGAAATTCACTCAGAAGCAAAATGGGCAAATTTCAATAAACAGGTACAATATTTCAGTTAATCAGAACTGGTCAGAAAAATCTTACACTTGCCAGGAAGGACTTATTCTGGCAGGACATGCTTCATTGGCTATTTGTTTAGGATACGGTTGGGTCATACAAAAGCTGTGTCACAACACACACTGGGCGTCAATGCTACAAGAGTTCAAGCGACTTATGCAACCAATCAATCATGTCTTAATTTATGGTAAGAGTGACCTCTAGTGACCATAACTCCTGGTTAGAGCTGGACATTTTCAAATATAATGATGGTCAGAATCGAATCGAATATTTTATTCGAATCTCGAATACTTGGGAGTTAATATTATGCTATTTTTTGTATATACATCACTAAGACCAATTGCTGAGCGTTCACACGCAATAAGACAAAAGTTTTATCAATAACTCAGAATTGTGTTGTGAATAGGCTTCAAAAAAAAAAATGAGAAATTCACCCAAACCATCGATGAAAAGAAGAAAAAAAGATGGCGGCAATTCGAAATTTTGCTCTGAACTGATTCGAATAATTTACTATTTGATTCGAAAGGCCCAGCCCTACTCTGGGTGGTTGACCATATATATATCGGCATAAAAACACATTATGATGGGACATTATTTCACAGACAAAAGCACAAAGTCCAAACCTTTTCGAATAAACTTCAACATTGTCCTTGTGATCCGAGGCTTTGGATCGAACTCTGAAAATAAAATAATCTTTTTAAATTTAGGAATTCCCGATGAGAGAAGAGCTTGAAAACTGTGTGTCATGGAGCCACATGATACTGCCGGAGTATGTGAACCAAGATGGCGGACACCGGAACGTAGTATGTTGACCAGGTTGGGGCCATAATTTCAGGTATAAATACTAAGAGGGTCACTTGGCTAGTCCCCGAACTTGAAAGAGAACTAAAATAGGAAAAATTGGAATAAAATCATGACCTAACCCTAACTTGGTTCACATACTTCGGGAGTACCCTAATATGTAACATAGAGTTTTGGGGTTTAATAAATTCAAGCGTTTCAAACAAAAATGTGAATGTTGGAAATTCCTAAAAATATCAAAGAAAACAGGTTTTATTTAATCTGGTATGTAATCATACAGGGTGGTCCCCAGAAAAAACAAAATATTTGTCAAATTACAAAGAATAACTTTTACAAAGTTTTTTTAAGGCATATGTTATATTACATTCATAGATGCTCAAAATGCCGTCCGTGCACTTCAGTTGTGTAGCGTTGTGAAAGTTAATTTGTGGGATATCGTTCCAATTCAACTTATTTGCATTATATTCGTGATCTCATCTGACTTTCAAATTTCCCACTTTTGCCCCCTGTGGTTTGAAGCAATATTCACCAAATATTTCATTAAAAAGTTACAGGAGAGGAAAGTCAATTCCTATGACCAAAAAAGCTTCGGTGATCGAACAGCAATCAAGAACAAATCTTGACCGACTACTGAGGTATCACTGTATTTGTTTCAAGCGAATTGTGGCAAAGGGGCAGTGAAAAAAGGATTTCATCTAAGACATTTTAATATATAATACAATATCAAATTCCTACAAAAGTCCAAACCTTTTTGAATAAACTTCAACATTGTCCTTGTGATCCGAGGCTTTGGATCAGACTCTGAAAATAAAAATAATCTTTTTAAATTTAGGAATTCCCGATGAGTGAAGAGCTTGAAAACTGTGTGTCATGAAGCCACATGATACTGCCGAAGTATGTGAACCAAAATGGCGGACACCGGAACGTGGTATGTGTAACAGGTTACGGTTAGGCCATAATTTCAAGTACAAATACTTTGGGTGTCACTTGGCTAGTCCTCAAACTTGTAAGAGAAATTGGAATAAAATTATGACCTAACCCTAACTTGGTACACATACTACCTTCCGATGTACGGCATCTTGGTTCACATGCTACGGGAGTACCCTAATATGTAACATAGAGTTTTGGGGTTTAATAAATTTAAGCGTTTAAAACAGAAATGTGAATGTTGGAAATTCCTAAAAATATCAAAGAAAACAGGTTTTATTTAATCTGGTATGTAATCATACAGGGTGGTCCCCAGAAAAAACAAAATATTTGTCAAATTACAAAGAATAACTTTTACAAAGTTTTTTTAAGGCATATGTTATATTACATTCATAGATGCTCAAAATGCCGTCCGTGCACTTCAGTTGTGTAGCGTTGTGAAAGTTAATTTGTGGGATATCGTTCCAATTCAACTTATTTGCATTATATTCGTGATCTCATCTGACTTTCAAATTTCCCACTTTTGTCCCGTGGCTTGAAGCAATATTCACAGCATAAAAAGTTACAGGAGAGGAAAGTCAATTCCTATGACCAAAAAAGCTTCGGTGCTCGAACAGCAATCGAGAACAAATCTTGACCGACTACTGAGGTATCACTGTATTTGTTTCAAGCGAATTGTGGCAAAGGGGCAGTGAAAAAGGATTTCATCTAAGACATTTTAACATATAATACAATATTAAATTCCTACAAAGTCCAAACCTTTTCGAATAAACTTCAACATCGTCCCCTAGATTCGAGGCTTTGGATCGAACTCTGAAAATAAAAATAAATTATTTTAAAATTTGAGACGACACTTTTAGCAACCCCCATTAGTTTGAGATTCAGATATTTTATTTCGTCATGCTAGAATCAATAAAAAGCAAAAAAAGAAACATAGTAAACTAAAAACACAGGAAACAGTGATTCATAGCAATTGAGCAGGAGTCATCTATTCAGCGACACCTTGTTGCTGTATTACAGCGTCAAATATAGCAATGAAGCATATAAAAAAAAAAGAATTATCTTCAAAAATACACGAATCATGGAAAAACAACAATAAATTTTAAATAAATCATAACTGCCGATACGATTCATTCAGAAATTCACCAAATATTTCAATAAAAAGTTAGAGGAGAGGAAAGGCAATTCTTATGACCAGAAATGCTACGATGCTCGAACAAATCGGTAGTCGAACAACAATCCAGAACAAATAATGACAGATACAAATGTTATCAAACAATCATGTCTAAATAACTTTTCAGTGTGACCCCTAGTGATTGATCATTTGATCGTATATATTTTTGTCCAGGGGAGTGGGGTTGGAGATGGAAAAAAAAATGAGAATAAAGGCAATTTTCTGTATCATATATATCATTTTTTTTTAGCTTGAAACACACACTGTCCCTGCTAGCTGTTACAGTCTAACTTGGCGATTAGAAATTTCAGAACCCACCTTTGAACATTACTGCGGGAACAAAAAAACACGCAAAAGTCCGAACCTTTTTCGAATAAACCTCAACATGATCTACGTAGTCTGTGGCGGCTCCAGGTCGAAATCTAGAAAATAAAAAAATCATTCAAGAGTTGGAATGACTAATAAGCAAACTGTGTGTCAAGAAGGTGCACTAAGATGTGTGCTGTAGAGCAGGGCTACTCAACTGGCGGACCACTGTCCGAATCCGGACCTTCTGAGTAGTGGATTCTGCCTAGAGGTAAGATCGGGCCCAAAAATTCCAGCCAGGCCCGTGGGTGCTAAACCCGACCCGAGCCCGACTAATTATCTGGATTTGCTGGCCCGAGCCCCAAGCAAACACAAAATTTCATATTTTATTTGAGAGTTCTTTGAATTGTCATTGCAAGAGTTTAGTACAGTATGTGTCGTGTTGATGACACAACTTCTGTTTTTTGCAGACCACGGTCTCTCGTGGCCATAACACGGCCGAAACGCCTAATTTAAAAAAAAAACGTCAGCGATATAGAAGCTTGACCCGAATGTAATGATTGACATTTCAGGCCCGACCCGGCCCGAATTTTGGGTCGGGCTCGGGCTTCAGATCTTAGCCCTAATTCGGACCGCACCTATTCTTTTTATTGGATCATTGGCCCCACTTTGGAAGTTTCCTTTTATAAAATGACTTTTATTGTTTAAAGGTTATTTTATGATTTCCTGACTACATGTGAAAAGAACTATAACGCCATAATAATCGATCTTGATTAGTGAATAATCATTAGCTGGCTGAGGAACTGCGCCTTTAAAGATGTCGAAATATAATTTTCGGAAAGACCGGACTCCAATAATTTTTAGTTTTGTATATGGATCTAAAATAGTTGAGTCACAGAGTAGCCCTGCTGTAAAGTTCAGTGATTTGAAAAATTTTTACACTCGGGTGTTTCAAGGCAAAGCAGATGATATGATTTTTGGAAAAATATTTATCTGAAATCTGGAAATATCAAAAAGTAATGCCATAACTGTTCAAATAACTCCTCAAATATGTGATGTGAAATAAAGTTTGTCCGGCGCGGAAAGAAATTCTCACTAACGACAGCGATCTCTCTCATACTGCAGTACTGTCATGGCGGGATCATTGCAGTTCGATTTTGGGTAATATGTGCGTCTTTGATGACAGTTAGAATAGTTTATGAGGGCCCTTTTTATGTCACTGTGAGGTAATTTTTGAACGACGCAGTCAGGTTGCAGGTGGGGGTTAGGATTGATGATTATTATTTTGCCCCCACTACTGCACTAGAAGTACGAAACTACACTAGACTGCTAGACCCACCCGATTTTTGAGGAAAGGAGAATTTTAGTGCCCTTATGGTCCTTAAAATAATGTATGTGATTATCCAGGTACCGGTATCATTATGAAATATTTAAACAATTACCTTAACCCTCTAAATCACTTTGTCTCGCTGTGGGTGTTCAGTTCTGAAAACATCAGCTTTCCAATACGATGTTAACATGTATGAATCACTATTAGGCTATCAATAAACAATGATTTACGGTACCTGCTGTATGAAAAAAGTAGGTTATAAGAGTGGAGGCTAACTCGCAATGCGACGGCGGTTAACGGGTTAGCCTGCAACTGTGCGAACGCTCTTCTTGTAATGGGAGGTGGAAAGATGGCTGATTATGAATGTTAATAGATAATTAGAGGCTCTGAACCATCCCCAGTGTTCTGTGAGTGAGAACCCTGCCTCTTGTAGTGTAAAAAAACTTTTTTGCATCATACATAGCAATTTTTAACACCATTGTGAATCCAGCGGAAAATATTCTGCAGTTTTCAACCGGTTCTCACGCGGAATGAAACAAATTTTAATAATATTTCTTACGAAGAAACGGGTCCTACGCGGAATTAAAAACTCGAAGTAATAATTTAAGCACATTCGGCTGGTAGTGTTAATTATAAAATACATAAATGTACATCACAAGACGTAGAATCACAAAATAGCATAAGAAAACGTCTGCACGAGGATACGAGGACGAATTCAAATATAATTCGCAAAGTGCCAACTACTTATAAGGGCCATTCCAAGCAAAAGTTGAATTCCATCAATTTTTTAAAAAGTGTAGTGAAAGTATTTTTTTTATATTTTCGATATCAAAAGACATTGGAATTTTATTGGACTGCATTAATTTTATCGAACAATTTTTAAAATTTCACTCAGATTTGTGATGGTTTATAAAAATTGGCCTGAAATGTAGAAATTTTGTTATAATTGACATATTTTGTGATGATTCCTGACACAAAGTGTTTGATAGTGTGGTACAGTTATGTTAGTGCATGGTGGATTTGCCGTCCTGTGGTGTCACGCTATATTTTATTATATTTTTTTTATCTACTAAGTAAGTCTTGGGTGTAACTTTTGTGCAATTTTTTACATATTCAATAAAGCAACTGATTGGACAATGAAACAAAACATGTTGCTGAAAATGTGAAAATATATTGCATCCAACAACATGCTAAATTTCTGGAATTGTCTTGTAGTGTCACTTGGAATAGCCCATAACAGTAAATATTAATTGTATAGGTTGTTAGAAGTATTATATATAATATGAAGTAGGAACGAAACGAGTCTTCACGAGGTACCGCACTTCCAATTTTAACCAAAAATTTGATTTTTAAAATTTTTGAATTTCATAAGTCGACGCCTAATTCGAATAAGTTACTCTTTTTGCCAACAACTTTTGACAACGATTTCGATTACATGTAGGCTATAAGTCAAGTGTCTAACACCAAGAAATGATTAACAGTGGAATGAGATTTAAAAAATGTGGGCTTTCAAAAATTGACCAAAATCAGATTTTGTCAACTGACTTTACACTTGCTACATAAAATCAGTGTGTGTGTATTATAAAAGTACAATTTTCAACAATTTAAGTCTTTCGCGCCAGAAAATTTAAACAAAACCCTTTATGTGCCTATAGTACTCTCTTTGGGGACTTCACACAAAATCAAATAAAAATGGAAAATTTCAGGCAGAATTGTCGAATTTTTGAATTGACTTTGTTGTGTGATTGGCATAATCCTTTGTCCACGTCGATTTTCTCCGCTGATACCTTTGCTATTTTGTATGCGATTTTGTTACCCTGAATGCCGACATGTCCTGGAGCCCATGGTAATGTGATTTTGCATCCTCGTTCCTGTAACTCAAAAAGTCTGAATATATGAAAATAAATTACTAATTTTATCCGAGGTATTATCTTGTGTCACTGACTTGTGTTACGTTAGAATAAACTTTAACCATTACGTAATAACTTCCCAGCAACTCACAATTGCATTACATCTTTGTGCGACATCAGGAGAGGCTATTGTTAAATCCAATAACGAGTAAGTATTTATTTTGTTATGGGATAAATTTATGCTAGTCTAGTGGGACAAGAGGTTCAGTAATACGAAATCTGTGCTGTCAATATCTTCAACAAGAGCTATTCCTGGTTGACACATATAAGGATAAACGATATGCCTAATTCTATTCCATCAGATAATGTTCGATTACTTGCTGACAATAGCGTTCTATGGCACATTGGGCTCAAAATTGAAGATTTAACGTTTCCTCCCATAACTCATTGGATTGTTTTCAGTCCTGGTGCAACCAATGGAGTTTCCAAATCTTGGTCACAAATCAATGGTTGTACCCTTCACCCGAAAAATTACCAACAATTACGCATAAATGGAGTAATAATACCAGTCAGGGAGTTAAATACTTTGGAGTCTATTTCTACTGGTCAGGAATGAAGTAATATTATAGGCCTACAATATATGCTCGGTGGCATGGCGCATCGTGCTAAGCGTTAGAAATACGCTCACCACCGCATCTCTGATGACCCTTCGTGGGTTCGCAGGTTCGAATCCCATGCGATGATCATGTGCGAGAGGATTGCTGAACTCCTCGCAGTCGTAGGGTGGTTTACATAACCGCTGGTCGGTTACGGCTTCCCCCCCCCCCCCCCCCATCAAGTCCATGCTTCCGAAAACAAATACCTGGCTAACTAATACCTGACCTGGACCGGTAACCGGACGAAAGTGTGTGGTTTGCCATATGATTAAACCGTCCTATCGGCTTTCCTCTCCCCCGGGATAAATCCTTCCTACATTGGAATATATTTTCGTAGTTTCTTAAATTAAAAGAGACATATGGACTATGTTGTACAAAAATGGGTACTCAATACTCATGTAGTATGTGAACCAAAATGGCGGACACCGGTGTTTGGTATGAGTACCAGATAAGGTTTGGCCATATTTTCATGTACAAATACTACGGAAGTCACTTGGCTAGTACCCGAACTCCTAATAGAGGTAAAATGAGGAAAATTGGAATAAAATTAAGGCCTAATCATAACTTGGTACACATACGTTCACGTGTCCGCCATCTTTGTTCACATACTTCTGGAGTACCAAAATAAAGCTTATAAGTAGCAAAAGTATAAGGAATAGCTCTTAAATTAGAATTAATTGTAATAAAACAAATAGTATATTGAACAAATACCAATACAAGAAACATAGCACCAAAGTAATTTCACAAAAAACAACTGGAAAACTTGCTAAAACGCATTTGACATGCTTTGATTTGTACTATTATCCATTTCATTATTATTCCATCCAATAGATACATTCGTTAAAAATAGAAATGAAACTGAAACCAAACATTAAAAACAAAAATAAATAAAGAAACAGAAGTCAGACCTTTACTCGCATCATAAGTTATTTAAACATTGATTTAGGTTTGTTCAAAGCAGCGGTTAATGTAACAATAGCTATAGGCAGTTTATTTATCTGCTGAACCGAGTTAATCAAACACATGCAGAGATGAGGAAAAAGAGTTGACCTTTTGCCTTTATTACCCAGGCCTTCATGTTTACTAAGGTTGAATGGCATAAAGTACACATTAACGATCACGCATTTGAGATTTATCGTGGAACAGCATATTTGTTCGCCGCACGAACAAAACGTCTGGAAACCGCTATGCAACATTTTACGTGATACCTCGCCCCGAACTTCGTGAGAATTATATAGTTTTGATAACAAGTAAGCTTTCTTTAACAGATATTGGAATGCTTCGTACTGACTTCTATTATCACCATTTAAAATCTAAGACTTTGACTTCTATTATGAAGTCATGATGGAGTTATTATGACGTCATTATTGAATAGGGGGCTCATAAATGGCATAGTTTGGGGGCTTTTATTGTGCTAAATCAGGGGAGTTCCAAGGTTGATGGCCTCGCGGGCCACACTGATATTTTGGATGTGTTCGCACGCCACAATAGTTCCAAGAATAAGTAAACAGTGCAATACAAAAAATCTTACTATATCTACATTTAGTTTGAGATTTCAAACTCTTCATAACGGAGAAAGTGGCATAAGGAGAAAATGCCTTTTCAGATTGTCACCGACACAACTTGCAGACTTATCAAGCGAGCATCGTGGTATTTTCCTTTCCATATCCAGTCAAAAATCTGGATGAATTGGTCTGCTTTTTTTTCAAAATCATGCTTAAAATAGCTTATAAATATCTGCGGATTGATTGAATACCGAATTTTACCGAATTTGAGATACAGGGGGATAATTACTAAATAGCCAACCTAGGCTACGATTTTAGTTTTCTATGAAGCCAATTTTGTTAGCATATATTCATGACCAAAAAGATATAAAGCCTGCTAACAATTTCTATTAGCCAAGTATATTATTCGATACTCAGGAAGCATGTGAACCAAGATGGCGGACATCGGAACGTAGCATAGTGTGTGTACTTGGTTAGAATTAGTTCATAATTACAAGTACAAATACTACGGGAGTCACTTGGTTAGTCTCCGAACACTTATTAAAACTAAAATAAAGAAAATTGGAATAAAAATATGTGCTAACACTAACCTGGTACACATACTACGTTTCGGTGTTCGCCATCTTGGTTCACATACTATGGGAGCGCCCATTGTTCAACTTTGCTAGTTGCCTCAGCTAGCCATAACACTAGTCAATTAAGAAACATTAGTGATGTAACAATATGTCAAAAGATTTTTTTTCTGGTTATTTTTATGAAAAAACAACACCAAATGCGATTTTTTGTTTACCATCCCGCAATGGCGACGCGGGCCACAGATAATGAAGTGGCCCGCGTGCCTGGGTTTGGACCACCCTGTACTACATGCTGGGATGCAAAAATACGTTTATCAACAAGAGAGCGACGGTTAAATAAATGGACACAAAGTTTGAAACGGAGTAATACGATCCACACATAAAAAAAAACTATTCCTTGAGCACAGAGAAAGCCTTCTCGCGAAAAATACATTCTTCATCCAATGAAACTTTCAAAGCAATTGGTTTACTCTAGTAGGAAAAACTGGGAATATTGCTTTGGGAAAACATGAACCGTACACCTACGCTACCATCGGCCAGGGAAAACATGAAGAGGCCCCTGAAAATATATGGAATTATGGCTTCACATGACGTGACATTCACTCATCACTAAGCAAGGTTACTGGCAGTCACTCAGAAGTGAATGAGACTCATGTCTGAGCTAGAAAAGTACCGATGTATCGGTATCGGCAATATCACCAATTTTTGGGTGTCGGTAGTTTAAAAATAATAGGTTAGAACAGTGATTCACAAAGTGGACGATATTGCCCCCCAATGGGCCAAAAAGATACAGAAGGGGGCGGAAAAGACCGGATGGGCGATAGGGGGCAATTTCGCGAAACCAGTTTGTGTTCGACGGCTGGCGCATGACTGCTCCCCGCCGTGATGTAGTTCGCGCAAAACCCAGGGATCGGCAACCTACGGCCCTCAGGCCAGATTCGGCCCGCGACGCTTCACTGAATTATAGCGACAAAACGGCGGTTTTGACCATGAATTAATTTAAAATCTACGCTCGAGGGGTAGATTCGATTTTTTACGTAACGGAATTCATTGTGAGACACGTGTAGACTAAATTATATTATATCCTAATGAGCCTATAATTTAATTA